TTGCTGTAMATTCTCGAACGTTTTGTTCGATAAAATGTTTATATTATTTAAACTKTATTTTYACACCCATGTTTTAACTACTSTTATTCGCCTGATTATATTTTGAAAGAAAGCAAACAAAGATTGCTAAGTTTTTCTTGATTTATTTATCAATTTTATATTGTCATTCATCCTCTTCAATTGTTAACTTCACTATATTTAGATTTAATAATTATTTGATAATAATATTAATCCATTTTTAACTTTTATATCATCAAGAACGAAATTGTGGAACGTTCGAGTGTAATGTTGTAGTTTCGCAAAGGTCTTGATTGTGTGCCATTGGCTTTGCGAATCCCAGCAAATCTTTAGCAACAGCTAGTATCTGCCTGGTTCGATCCTGGTCTGTAAACCACTTATGTWAAAATATTTTTGTTGTGCTTTTACTTGAATACTAGTAATGTCTCTCTGATATGAGAACTGTACACATTTTCCTGTGATGATTTGGAAAACAATATAACGACAATTTAACAGCTCGGTAAAAGGCGCCACATTACAGCGAGTACATCGGTATTCGGGCGTAAACAAACACTCAGCACCCATCCCCACCCCTCCCCCCCACATCAAATGATAAATCCACTGATGGATGATTATTCAAACCCTGTATCTTTTGCTAATTCTTGAGCTGAGCTCTGATTGGCTCGCTTCTCCCTAAGGATTTTGGTGACGTCATATATTAGCATAGAACTTCACCGAATAGACTACCCCAATTAGATATTAGATATTTATAAGTGTCTTCATAGTACGATGGTCTAAGAGGGTAGCTAAAGGTATGCTCTAGTGGGCGGCTACCCCCTCACTCCCTGGCCTTTTGGTTAAGACTAATAAGTTTTATGTTCACTCGGGATAGCGTGGGAGAGCCGAAATCTCTAACCGTAACGTAAGCCGATTCGACGCCTCAGCTTCATAGAATGTCTCGGGGGAATCGTCCCATCTTTTTATTTTTTTTATTTTCATTATTTTTTATATATTCCGGGGGGGTAAGTCTTTCCCTAAAGTAAAAGTCCTGAGTTCGAACCCTGTTGCTGGACTTTCTCTTTTTTCTTGYTGAATGTTTCTTTTTCTTTTTTTCTTTTTCTTTTGCTTCCTGTTTTCTTTTCTTCTTTCTATTTTTTTCTTTCTCTTTTCTTCTTTTTTCTTTGCTGTTGTATTTTTTCCTCTATAGATTTTCTCTTTTCGACTTAAAATATCAGGGACTCTCAAGGAACGCCTTCTACAAGTGGATGGTTACGTCGATAACATAGTGAAGAGAGGCCCCATAAGGCTTTCCGTCACAAAAACGGTTAAAAATGGAGGTTTTAATCAACGTTAAACTCCTGACCACTTATTTAAACCCGTGGCCTATACTTTGTAATAACCTTGGTTCGACCATATTAAGCTTATCTGACAGTTGACTTATATAGGAAGCGATCGAAGCTCGCCATATTGAATGAAAATATTATGCATATGTTTGCTTTTTAAAAGAAAGTCAGGAGATGCGAGGGTGCAGAATGTGTCAAAAAGGGATTTTCCACAGCAAAGTGCACATAGACTGTCTGAAAAAAGTTTAAAGTCCTCGAATATGTTAAAAAAGCACGCATTATTTGAATAAGTAAAAAATCAACTCACAGTAGCGTTTACTAATACTCAGAGTTCAGGCATAAATGCAACCCTTAAATCAATAGGTACTGATAGATTGTAAAGTCAACATTTGAAAAATCAGGAAAAATCTACTTATTCAGACATCATCAAACTCTAACTTCAGTGCTTACCAATGACGCTCCCAAAATATAATCCCAATAAAATCCTACGTGCCTGTAGCATYATTGATTCGCATTTACTGGTGTATAGTGTGCGTCAATTCCTTCGGAACGAATGTTTTAACAGTTAAAACTGTGGTTTCAGTTTACACRAACCTCAGTCAAACCAAGCAGGTGGCGGTCAGTAGAAATTTGCATGGCAAATGAGCTTTAGTTTTCCTCCTTGTTCAAACGAGAWGCTTGTCAACTTGAAAGTTGTGGTCAATATTTATTTAACTCTACTGATGTAATATAAAAGGCATTTGAAGTCTTTGTTAACGGTTTCAAAAGGTAAAAACAAAATTAATGTAMAAGATAATATGTGGTTATTGTTTTGGTTTGTTATTTATGATAAAGATCAATTTAGTCTCTCTCAGTGTGATTTTATGATTCAATTTATTTAACCAAACCATACATCTCAGCTGAAGGCCAAATTGCTGTGTGCGGTTTTTTTGTTTGTTTTTTTTTGTTTGTTTGTTTGTTTGTTTTGTATTCGACTATTGTTCTGCTGTGAAATAACAGGTTTAGGCTAGTGCTCTGTGAAGTTGCCATATTTCATCGAGACTTTCAAGAATGACACTATCAATTCACTTCGATTATTACAAGAAACTCTCAGGTTTTACTTTAAGTGTTTTCCGAYATCAAAAGAAAAGACATCTTCAAGTATTGAACAATAGTTCAAAAGGCGTTGACAGGGTGCACGAAAGGACAGATTGCGMTGARGTCCTCCCGTGCGACATTCCGACGAAACTAGCACTTTTAATCGATTTGAMAAGTTAGGATTYTTAAAGCTTTCRTAATATTACCATACGATTCAGCGCTTCTCTTCTTCACGACTTCCCGCATTGYTTCAGTCGAAGAGCGCGCGATTACTTTATGGGTACCCTGTGGAATCGATAATTGAATATCGGATTCCCTGTGGTACTTGCCCAAACATATTCAGACACAACCCAAATCTCGATCGGTCAAAGGGCACCAGTATTTTCAAGATTGAAAGGCTTTTCTTCTTACTAAAGGAATCCCCAGCAGTTAMAAACATAGAAGAACTATTTTTCACTGGTTTTGACATCGAAATCTTCAAAGCAACGWAGCAGACTTGATCGTCAAGCTTCAAAATGGCGGCAAGATGTAGGTTCACTTGGCAGATTCTTGGAAAGCTGTTATGTATCGCTCTTTTGCTTCTTCAAGGAGGTGTTYTGGATTACTATTTGATTGTAAAAAGCTCGTCTTCGTATCTTGGCTTCATCGCTACGGACATTGTTGTTATATCAGTGTGGATWGTAATTGTTTTCATTGCCAATGCACACTGTAATGTCTGGATGAAGTTACGTCTTCCWAAGTGTCCAAAGCTCAAACTCATGTGGAGAAAAAGASGTAATTTTGATCAAGTAGATTCACTGCATCGGAGGGAATACCCWGACGARYTKCCGTATGCTTTTATTGCKTGGTTTGCYTATGCTGCTGTTACTCTTGTACCAGAAGTTGCTGTCATTTTCAAAAMTTATGCTGATCAACTTGAAGATGTGAAGATTTTTCACCAAAACGTTCTCAAAATTGCCCTTTGTATAACACCAGTTTTGTTTCTACTATTGGTTAATTCACACCACAGTGCAAATCCCCAGTCATCAAGAAAATGGTACGTGGACAAGCTTACAGGCGGGGTAACCCTCGATCTTATGGACAGTATTGACTTCCTGGARATTCTGTTCCTGGATGACTTTGCCCTTAATCTTCCAAAAGCTCTAGAAAATGCAATCATTGCATTTGCATGTATTAACTTCTTCTTGCCAACACTTGCATTGCTGGAGTTGAGCATTAATAAGTTTGAYGGACAGGTGCGACCTGTTTCAGGCCAAGTATTGTACTCCATGAGCTATATAGTCTTGGTAAACATGCCATTCTTTATCATTCGCATGATTTTATGGCTGGTTTACAACCAAGATGTATCTGTTTTTATTGCAAAGAATATTATCATGACCTTTATCTATGCCATGGATATCAAGGAATCACTTGGGCCATCAAAACCCAAGAAATGTCCAACTTGTTACAAGTTATTCCTTCCATTATATTTAGACAAGCACAGAACAGAATGCCATCTTAATGACATTGAACAAGGCAACATTACAGAGTTGCAGTTAACAGAAGACCAGGGAACAGAGAAGAAAGAAGAGACTGTTAACATGTAAAGAAGAAATATTATCTTAAGTATTATACCAAGTAAAAAGTATTCTTAAAAAATACTTCAAAATCACATAAAATAAGGTCGCTTTAACTTCTGCTGTGAATAATGCTTAAATAAATGCCTGTTCATTTTTTTAATTTTCTWCTTTTGCCAAACACAGGCAATTAAAAAGTTTCGTTGAAGTATTCTCCTTTGTATTATATCAATTATGAATGATCATTGTAAAATGGGTGTTTTATGTTTGTTTTTTTTGGAGTAAAACGTTTTTTTGGATGGTTTTTACGAAGAAACAAACAATATTTCATGTATTTTTGCTTCTTCGTATTGACCATTCAGGAAATCCATATAAAATCACTCAACCCCAACTCATACAGCTATAAAAGTAAATTTAGTTCACAATTCTGTCAATGCAAAGATGATTGGAAAACAGAAAGTACTATAACAGATATATCTAAWTTATGTAAACAGCTACGAATACACTTATCATTGTTTTAAAAATTGTACTTTTTAGTATTTTCTATGCTTTAATTGAACCAGTTTGAACTGTATTCTTTATAATTTCAAAGGATGTTTTGGCTGTTTATTACAATATTGTTTATTAGCTTTAWTAGTGTTTRTWGAGATGTATCAGAAACATTGCGYCRRTACCTAAACTGGAGTGCTCGTGAACCAGGAAGGTAATCCCTGAGGAATGGGGTCACTTTTTTCTTTCTCTTTTTTCTTTTCCTCTTCTTCTTTTTTCTTTTCTTCTTCTTCTTTTTTCTTTTCTTCTTCTTCTTTTTTCTTTTCTTCTTCTTCTTTTTTCTTTTCTTCTTCTTGTTTTTTCTTTTCTTCTTCCTGTTTTTTCTTTTCTTCTTCTTGCTTTTTCTTTTCTTCTTCTTGTTTTTTCTTTTCTTCTTCTTGTTTCTTCTTTTCTTCCTCTTTTTTCTTCTTTTCCTCTTCTTTTTTCTTCTTCTGTTCTTCCTTTTTCTTTTGTTCTTTTTTCTTCTGTTCTTCCTTTTTCTTCTGTTTTGTTTTCTTCTCTTCTTTTTTCTTTGCTCCTTTTTCCTTCTCTGCCTTCTTTTTCTCCGCTTTTTTCTTCTCTGCCTTCTTTTTCTCTGCTTTTTTCTTTTCCGCTTTTTTCTTTTCTGCTTTTTTCTTTTCCGCTTTTTTCTTTTCCGCTTTTTTCTTTTCTTCTTTTTCCTTTGCTTCATTTTTCCTTGGTTTTACTTTCTTTTGTTTTTTCTTCTTCTCCGCTGCTTTCTTCTTCTGTTCCTTTTTCTTCTTCTCTTCTTTTTTCTTTTTTTCTTCTTGCTTTTTCTTTTCTTTTTCTTTTTTCTTTTTCTCTTCTTTTTTCTTCTCTTCGGCCTTTTTCTTTTCTTTTTCCTCAGGCTTTTTTACTTGTTTCAATGTCTTGCACACTTCTTTTAAAGAGGATTTTTTGCATTTTCCTGTCAAGTAAGCCTTATTCGAACATTCTTCATCTATCTTATCACCTTTATTCTTCTGACAATCTCTAGTACACTTTAAACCGTCGTAATTGTCTTTATTGCACTTTAGCGAACAGAAAGAGCAGTAAAGTTGGCAGACCATAGTCGGATCACTGTCTTTCGTTTGATCTCGTTCTTTTTGTTTGTGCGCTTCCCTAAGATCCTGCATGAATGGTGAATTTGCTTCTTCTTTGCTCATTTTATGATATTCTATATTCGAGCAATCTTCGTCTCTAGGTACACCGTTGTTCGTTTCACAATCATCGTAGCATTTTGCTCCATCGTAGCTGTCTTTCCCCCAAGTTATCACGCAGTTTGCGCAGTAAAGCTGGCAAACGCGTGTTGGTGATTGATTCCCTGTAATACTGATTCTGGTAGWATTKAAGGTGCTATTKGTGCTGCTTGTTCTATTAATGCTGGTGATGTTTWCATTGGTGACATTCACGTTTGTAACATTCTGGTTGGAATATCTGGGATATATGATGGCATTAAAGCTGGGATGAACAAGAAGAACGGCCACCACAGCACCAATGAGCGTTGTCACAAGGGACATTGTGTCGCATTAGATGGTACTAGCGTGAAATAAAACAACGGTTAGTATAAACCAGCGCGTAAAGTAGACGCACTAAATCCATGAAACAAATTACTAATTGATGCTAAATAGTATTGAATAGACAAAATGAAACAAAGGGATTCGCAGAGTTTATCATCTATTTTGTGTTACCCATGCTGTGGTCGTTTAAGAGTGAAGTCCTTAAAATTGTGAAACAAAACTGTAATAKTGCTAGTTAGACAATAGAATAGAGCGTACCAAGATGTACTAGTGTGAGTTTTCAGTCTCACCCTAATGAAATTTTACAATGAAAACCTGTAAAACACAAGTGATTTCAAAGTGTGATGAGAGCAAAAACGCCACAAGACAAAGTCGACATTGAGCAATGTGTACTTAATTGGTTTAATGGAAAGCCTCAATAATCAAAAATAATTTGTTTATGATTTTGAAAAATAATTTCCTAGTAAAATCAAGCAACTTGAGTGAACAAATAGATATAAATCTGGTAGTCTACTGGTAGGAGTGTTTCTCATTTGAATCACAACAATCGTTTTGAATCTTGTGCTAAATCACCGTTAAAATGGTAAGAGAAGTCATTTAGTTTCTCACCTTCTATCAATGGCTTGGTATCGAGGTGTTAGATTGCAAGAGTATTACATTCAATGAAAGCACCGAAACTCCATACGGACTTGCGCAGTTCATGTTATAAGACAACGGTGACGGACTTGGTATGAATTAAGGGTTCTGGTATTCCATGGGGTTGTAATTGATTGATATAGGGACAMACTGTCATTGAGGACAGACATAGTAGTGTTGTACTTCTTCAAACTACAGGACCGAAGGCAATAATACTAAATTTAATGATATTGATTAAAGATTTTTTGAACTGGTTCAGGTTATTAGCATCTCTTAACATCGGGTATTTTGAAAAAGGAAATCATAAAAAACGACAGAAATTGAAATGCATGAAAATATGTCAATATATCATCGTAGCGTGATAACCCTTCCTTGTAAACTGCGGGTATTTGAAGTGCGCATGTCATGAATAAATAATAAAATCACAATTAGAGGAAATGTCATTTCATCAGTAAAATAAAAGCTCTTTGTTCCCTATACTACGTGCTCTTTGAATTAGATAATAATAGCCAGTCTTTTGCTGGCTTAAGTTTAAAGTTGTTTTCAGAGGAATGCAATGGCAGGTTTCACTGTCAAAAAAAAAAAAAAAAATCTATTTGCGGGTTGATTCGTCCCAGTCTTCAATTTCAAAACCTTTGGTCAAGGGTTCGTATCCGAGTGCGACCAAGCTTATTTGTCTGTTTTTTTTTCTCTTCTTTATTTTCCAACCATAACAGTACGTGAAATTGACAATGATATCTGYAGTAATAAGTTTAATGAAAATTAATGACCACAACATTTAACATCCACAAACAGCAATAACATAGAATAATAATGACACAAAATAATATTATTTTTTTGAAAAATRGCTAGTCAATAACACGATTTTCACTAATTTTCAAGTCATATGTTTATATTTGACTGTAATACAGCCTTTTGCAAAAATTATGAGAATTGTCTAAATATCTAAATATCGATATTATGATATTTAGACAATTCTCATAATTTTTGCAAAAGGCTGTATTGTGAACTAAAGCATTCTATCACCGTAACTAATGACGTCATAAACTAAACGTCTAAAGGGATTGTCAAAGTATTTGTCATGTGACTCGCACGTGGTCGGTGCTGGCATTGAAAACGAGTTGTTTTGCGGCAAGTCCATTTTGGCTCGATAGTCGTAGTTGATCGGCTGAAACTGTTTGTGAAACGCTGYGTTTGAAAACTGCGATACACGCATACCCTGTGAAAAAAAAAAGAAAGTGTGCATAAGTGTATAGACATATAAAATCCTGAATGGATAGATACTACACTGTAATTTTCTTTGCTGTCGTCCACCATTTGATAAAGTTGATCAAAGAATTACAAAAGACTTTTAAAATTTACATTGTATGATAAATTTCATTGTATAATTTTGCAAATCGTTCTATACCTGGAATGACTGGAAATGCAGGACTTGTCCAGTGTGACAACAATGACTAGTGGWGTTCGTTTCGTAGCTGGTTCTTTGCATGGTACAATAGGTTCTTACGATGTCTTCATTGATGGAAGTGTATCCCATGTTACGCCTCTGTACCAGTAGCCTGCGCTCTGATGCACGTTTATTCTTAAACCAGTTCTATAAACAACAAAAGCACGACGCGCAACACATTATACTTGAGAATTAAGAAAGGTTTCTAAGTGCGGTTTATCGTAATGCTGAAATCGGTCGGAATTCACGCGGAATGACATTAAAAAACGTGATTAAAGGTTTAAATCCGGAACCAATAGCGTATCGAGATATACCATAGCATAGCGATGTGAAGTGAGGCACTGGGGACTAAGTCATGTTGGAAGGCTCATCCCTGGCTCGTACTTTTACCATTATATCACCGGCGTTCACTCACTAGTACGGTCTAKTACGGTGATCAGTATTGTAAACACAATTTTCATTAAGTCACTAACCTGTATACGTTTGACTTCGACACCCAAAGAAGAAGCAAGCGCTTTTTGTCTCTCAGTGCTAGGGAAATCATCCATTTCAAATGCAGAGTTGAGCATTTCGACTTGTTKACGGKTGAAGCGATTACGACRGCGTGAACGATATTCAGATCGTGAAGACGCGCGCACTGTTGAGGCGTTCAAGTAATCGTCTAACGGATCTACATAAGGAAGAAAGAGAATGTATTAGTGGACGCCATTTGCAATACAGAAAAATCATAATAGTTCTAAACATAGTTAGTAACTATGTTCTTCAAAATAGTTTCTTTGGTTACCTTGCAGAGAGGAAATGTCACTGGTGCCAAAATCCAAACGACGCCTGGCTGCTGACATAGTGAATCCTTATAATACGTTTGTTGAGTTAACTGAAAGACACTCTGCACTCTTGAGCTAATTCCTGGAAATCTGACTAAGGAAGTCAAGTGTCTTTGACTTTTATAGTGATAGTTAAGTGGGTCATTGTGTTTTGCTGAACAATAGCTCATTGTCATAGCTCTAATACTTCGAGGTGAGAYATTGCCTGTAAACTAATGTTATTGTTTTCCGAACAAAGAACGGTTAAGTCTCGTTCATAAATAGTAAATGTTATATGCCTAATTCTGGACCACTAAAGTGTGTTCTAAACAATAGTTCATTGTCAAAGCTCTAAAGCGATAGAGGTGAGATATTCCTTAAAAATTATCATTGTTTGATGAACAAAGAAATGTTTACAAGTTCATAAATAGTAGGTTATACGTCTAATTCTGGATAACATAGAGTAGGCTTATTGGCCATTTCGACGTTGCGCAGGGAACTGGGCACTAATCAAAGAAATATTGATCTAATCACGAAACAAACCCCACCAGATGAAAGGGCACCCAAAAATTAGTATATATACCAAGTTTCAAAACGTTTNATTGTTGCTGAACAATACCTGAGAGTTGATTTTCTCAAACTTCACGAGGTGACACTATTGAAATTTAGCTATCACCAAATTGTTTTATGAACAAATAACTGTTGACAACATGATGTTGATAATAAAAAGCAGAAGTATTGTAAAGTCTGAATTGGATTATTTGAGAAAGATAGTTGTTTTGACAAGGCTTTTAATTTCAGAGATGCAATAGTTTACCTATTGATAAACAGGCAATGAATCAGTCATGAAACCAAATGATGAAATCCGTCTCTCTTTTGAGTCATGTGTTTGGCAGACCTGAGTACAGCCGACTCAAAAATGTAGTGTTATGCACACAGACTTATATGTTATGATATTTTATCAAACTTTTATGTAGTCAAACACACTGTCTCTCCATGATTTATATCACTTTAAGTGTCATGGAGTCAAATTCGAAATTGATTATAGTCGCACAAACAAAATCAAAATGCAAAATGACCTAAAAAAGCGCGAAAAACTCTGCAAAAAGGGGCGATGTACTTGCATATGGCAACACGCAGGGAAACTGGGTCAAAGATAATACCGCTGGTTTGTAAATTCCAGGGCTCAAGTAAAGTGCACATGGCGCAAAAGAGCAAAACAAACYATTTTCAATTCTCAGCATAATATTCCTTTATTTCCACCTAATTCGAAAAGTTTTCTTGTAGTTTTATGAAGAATCACATCTTCATTACAAGATTTCATAGTGTAGAATTGTTTTCCAATTTGATCATGTTTCGAACTACAGAATACCCCTTCATTGGGAATAAGCTATGGACAAATTTTGTTAAGTTTAACTTAAGAGAACGAAATTAGATTGCCATTCATCAGAACGTTCAAAGAGCAAGAATGGCCGCATTAGATAGTGCTGCAGAGATYAGTGCTTTGATAGATCAGTGGAAGAAAGACGAAGATCAGGGATTATCGCCTACTGACTCCTTGAACAGGTTGGAAACTTTGTGTCTAAATCGAGGAGACTTCGCGACAAAATCGACTTATTTTGTTTTTGCAATGGTTTCATTTTGTAGGATGTCTGTACTTGTAGAAAGAGAATGTGAGGACTACCACAAAATTAACCCCGATCCATTTGACGATAGACATCCAGGTAGGGACGTATGTTGACTTTGTTGTAGTATTATTAAAGACACTATCCCTCCACTAATAAACCATGCGATATACAAACGTATGTTCTCCTCAGACAAATTCAATGTTTATGTGATTGTGGTAAATGTGTTGTTTAGTTAGAATTATTATTTTCACATAAATCATTGCATTTCTTTGACAATCTGTGTTAAACCCCTAGGGAGAGCTGACCCAGACTGTGCACTTGGACACATCTTAAARGCTCTGTTTAAAAATGATGACTTTATGAACAAGCTGGTGAACTCTTACATAATGAGTGGTAGAGAAGATTTTGAATTGAACTGCACTGCTGCTAGACTTCTTCTCAAYGTTATGCCTGGATTAGAAAGCTCAATGGTATTTCAAGACACTGTAAGTCCCTTTGTAATAGATCAGGCAGAAATCTGAAACAACATTGATCATGACCAGGGCACATTCTAAAACCAGCATACTTTGATAATTTATACTTAATGTTTTTTAGGAAGGACTACTTGTCAAGCTGTTTTCATGGGCAATGGATGGTAAAGAGCCTCTACGATCCTATGCAACAGGTCTGCACTAAAGCTACAATACTATATTGTCTAATATAACCAGTCTAATCATAAGACAATCAAGAGATCAGTATATTTCAATATTTCCATATACTGTTAGGTTTGTTAGGTTTTGCGATGGAAAGTCAAGAGGTTGCAGGCTCCTATCGTGATGACAATGCAGTTGTTGTGAGTATTGTCCAGAGATTGTAAAGGCAGATAATTGCAAACTACTTAGTAATCAAAAATTAAATACACTGATTTTTTCTAGGTACCAAGAATGCTCCGTCGTTTGCATATTCTCAAAGAATACACTGACTTAACTCAGCCAGCATTGGATGAATTCCCTGATAAAATCCCACAGAAGACAAAGTCAAATAAAGCAAGACCAGAATGTCCAGGAAGTATAGCTGCAGGTAGCTCAACAGCCAAAGGAAAAAGAAATATAGAAACTTCATCTTGTCGAATTGTTAGTAATGGAACATCTGTAGTGTGTAATGGTGAAAACATTGAATCTATATCTGGTATTTCAGCAAATATTAGCTCTTTTAATAAAGGTAAATATATACAGATAGTGAGAATCTGTTTGGTGCTGAAAGCAATAATGACCATTATAACCTTATAATAACATTACAGTATTAGCAGTATYAATATTGACATTGATATATGTTTTTGAAAGAATTATTATGCCAGTTTTGATATCAAAACATAATGTCAGAAGATTAAATAATATAATGACTTTCCCATGATAATTTATTTTATAAGATCATGAAGTTTTGCCTTACAGCAAAAACTCCAGCCACAAGTAAAAATTGTGTTTTACAAAAAACTGGAAAGTCCTCAAAGGTGCAGGCTTGGTCTTCCAAAAAAGGTTATACATTGATTSCAATGTCTTTTTCATTGTACCCTCTAACACTCTCAATGCAGCAAAGACTTATTCTACAGTATCTCATCCCACTTGGTGAATATCAGGAGGTAAACTACGATGTATGCACAATAATGCTTTGTTGCCTGCAGTAATTAATTTAATGTCTAATTGTAATTGCTGTTTTAGCTTCTTCCTACCGTCTTTGAAATGAAGTCTCTTGATCTAGTCCTTCACTACATCAGTTTCAAAGGCRGTGTTGACATGTATCTGGCTTTTGAGGCTTTGAAGGTGGGTTTTGATTAAAGCTAGAACTTCTGTATCATTAAATACTAGATAATAAAAGATTAAGAGCTTAAAATGTGGTAATGATATTGTGTATTTTTTGTTGAAAAAGTACTTGGCTTCCCTTCTCTGCCACAAAAAGTTTGGCACWGARTTTGTGACACATGGTGGTGTTCAAAGGATGYTAGAAGTACCACGGCCATCAGTCGCAGCTACTGGTGTCTCAATGTGTTTGTATTACCTGGCATACAATGAGGATGCCATGGAAAGGGTAAGGATCACATGTAATATTATATTAATTGATCATATGTACAAATCAAAACATCAGATTTAATCAATATTCATAAATACTGCTGCATGATACTATCTGATATAACTGCATTTTCTTCTTATTTTATAAGATATTAGTCTTTTTTTAATATGGTTTCCAGGTTTGCCTTTTACCCTACCCAGTCCTGAGTGAYATGGTCAAGTATGCATTATGGTTRCTGGAATGCTCCCATGATTCAGGACATTGCCATGCTACRTTATTTTTTGCACAGACGTTTTCTTTCCGTGCTGTTCTTGAACTGTTTGATGCAGATGATGGTTTGAGAAAACTAATCAACCTGGTAATGTTGCAGCATAAGATTACTTTTTGTTTCTTACTTGTCTGAGCTTTCCTCTTCCTCTTCCCTGTTTTTGCTAACCTTTCTTCGTTTCCATTCATGTCATCTTTTTATATATTTAAGTGCATTGACATAAAAGAATGGAAGAAATAATGAACGGAAGAAATAATGAACGGAAGAAATAATGAACGGAAGAAATAATGAACTTCCATGATCACAAAAACTTTTCATTACATGTATTACAAGTATTTTTTCCATCCATAGCTCAGCACTCTTCCAATTCTGCGTGCTGAGGAAGCAGAACTATTAAATGATGATGAAGTATTTGGAAGTCGGCAAACAGTCAAGCATACATTAATGGCATTACGCAAGTACTTCAGTGCTCATTTGTTCATCAGAGCTGATGCAGTGAGAAGGTCCCTGGCACGTAATATGGGTAGTACTCCCCCTGTACCTGTACCGGCATATAAGGTTAAGTACTGTACCAATAGACCTAATTGGCTAATGGCGTTGCTATGTATGTTGCCACCCAATTCAAATCCTGTGGGAAAAAGAACTTTTGTTTCTAAGAATTCAACTGTGAAATGAAAATACAACGAACAATGAAACTTATTCCTGGGTGGTTTGAATTGGGTTGAAGCCGATTAGGTCTATTAAGTCCAAACATAGACTAAAGTGTGCCTTGTGCAAGCCATGTAGTTATTTTATTTAGAAAAGATAATTAGACCACAAGTTTGATTGAATTATAATGTGATGAGAGGATCAATGTAAATATCCATTTACTATCATTTGTTTTTCAGGCTCTGTCATTAAGTATGGATGGTTTTTCAGACAATGTAGATCTTTTGCTTGAGCATACATCAATGGCTGTGAACTGGGCACCACTAGAGGTTGTGTAACATTCTAAGCAGTGTTATTTTGTGGTTTAGTACTTTAATACTGTATTTCATTCATTATGTGTTATTCATTCATCCGTTCATTCAGTCATTTGTTTTTTCAGATGATGCACAATTTACAAGGGTTTACTTTGATTCTTCAAGTGATTGCATTGTCAGCTGACTGGAGAGCATACAGCTGCAGGTACAGAATTCCCATACAACATGGTYGCTCATATTGTAAACTATACAGTCATAAAATAGTTAACATTAATTATTGATAAAGCTTGTGAATTACAGGAGTGATGTAACWCGATTGGCCTTGGAGATGCTGTTTATTTTAACTGTAAACCCTAAAGCTAAACTTGCATTRAATGAACAGATAGCAACCCCCTCAGGCGATATGATGAGTGGAATGAGGTACAATCTCATTTTTTGAGATGTGCTTTTTATAGGGTTATGTATTCATTGCTTTCTTTTTGTTGTTCTATTTTAAGACTACTTCTTYGTGCAGCTGAGGGTGAACTTGTTTCTGACATTGACATACAGTTCGCTGCATTGTATGTGATTTGTAACTGTGTGTACAAACCAAAGGTACGACCTCAAGTTTAGTTGGGCTGCCTGTGAATTGTCACTGAAGTATCATAATATTTCTATGACATTTTCTTTATCTTAAGCCAACAGGAAGTACAACACTTGCTCGTAGTAATGTGCGAACAAAAACACCACACAGGAGTGAAAAACACGACGAGATCACAACTAAAATGTGGTCTTCAGTGCGTAGCAGCAATGGCATCAAGGTGTTACTGAGCCTGCTCTTAGTGAAGACACCTCTGGTCAGTGCTGATAAGATCAGAGCTTTGGCATGTAAAGCATTGTGTGGTTTGTCAAAGAGTGATAAGATTAAACAAGTTATTGGTAAACTTCAATTATTTAACAGTGGTCAGCTACAAAGTAAGTAAGAACAATATCAACCCAGTTCAAAATTCAACTTTAGATTAAGTGAAGACAACTGTATTACACAATATTTGTTATTGTCATTTTCATTACTAACAAATAACTTTGAAGAGCACAAGGCACAATAGAAAACAATAGATTTAGGTCTTTTAATCATTTGATGTTTGGAGTACATTAGTGTACATTAGGTTTTCGTGCTAATTACATGTTGTCGTTTATTTGTTGTGTGTTTCAGTCCTTATGCGTGAACCTATTTTAGAAGACAACATGGCTGATCACATGTCATTCTGTAAATATGCTGCTAGTCTACTAGAAAGAGTTACCGGGAAACCTTTAGGGAACACTACTGTGGCTGTACCATCATTGTCAAGGATAACCAAGGTTAGAAGTTACACGTACTGCATCAAAAATCAGATAAGTTTACAATTTAGTGAAGATATTGATAATCAGATTATTCGTATAAATTTTTTTAACATTGATTGATTTCATGGAACCAAGAAATTCATCAAGCATTATAGCAATAATACCAACAAATGTGACTGATATTTTGCATTTCTTTTGTAGGCTGATGTAGTTGCACAAACTCGTATTACATACCCTGAGAAAGAACTTCTACAACTGATTTACAATCACCTTGTATCTAAAGGTATGTCTATCAGCAAACACTCAAATTCTCTTTAGTTTCAGGATTTGGATTTAATTTTTATCTGTTGTTGTAGGTCTTGATGAAACTGCTAAACATTTATTAACTGAAGCTAAACTCCCTTCACCAAAACCAGCATTAGCCTCACCAATTGGCAGCCAGAAGGTAAGACTCAAAGAAAAGGGTTTCTTGCAGTGCCATACATGTACATGTTACCTGATGGGCTGGAGATTTTCATAATTAACCACCTAACTACATTCAATATCCAATATATACGGTGTGACGGAAAGTATATTTACCACTCACATGTTATATTTCAGCGTCCTATAAGTAGTTCCGTTTCCATAAATACACCATCAACACCAACGATGTCCAAGTACCGTTATGCAGAACCAGTAACACCATCATTAAAGGTGAATACCATGGATATTATCTGGAAAATATACTCTTCAATAATATTTCAATTCTGATGCAATTGTATTTGAATTTTAGCGTTTATTACCAGACACTTTATCGAGCTCTTCAGCCTCTCAGCCTCCACCCACTTTAGATGCGATAGTCACACGGTTTTTACGTGGACAACACGCGCAGTGTACCAATCCTGTGTCAGTGTGTCCTCCATTCTCACTTTTAAGGTACACAATGCAATAAGAGATAACATGTAAATAATGGTTTAAAGGTCCAGTGTGCAGCATTATGCTTTGAGGCGGCCATTTTCAGTTTACCGAAAGTCTATAAATTGTACTGTGTTTCGAATCTTTGACCATCTCACTTTTCTAAGTAGCTTANGCTTAAAATGTGGTAATGATATTGTGTATTTTTTGTTGAAAAAGTACTTGGCTTCCCTTCTCTGCCACAAAAAGTTTGGCACWGARTTTGTGACACATGGTGGTGTTCAAAGGATGYTAGAAGTACCACGGCCATCAGTCGCAGCTACTGGTGTCTCAATGTGTTTGTATTACCTGGCATACAATGAGGATGCCATGGAAAGGGTAAGGATCACATGTAATATTATATTAATTGATCATATGTACAAATCAAAACATCAGATTTAATCAATATTCATAAATACTGCTGCATGATACTATCTGATATAACTGCATTTTCTTCTTATTTTATAAGATATTAGTCTTTTTTTAATATGGTTTCCAGGTTTGCCTTTTACCCTACCCAGTCCTGAGTGAYATGGTCAAGTATGCATTATGGTTRCTGGAATGCTCCCATGATTCAGGACATTGCCATGCTACRTTATTTTTTGCACAGACGTTTTCTTTCCGTGCTGTTCTTGAACTGTTTGATGCAGATGATGGTTTGAGAAAACTAATCAACCTGGTAATGTTGCAGCATAAGATTACTTTTTGTTTCTTACTTGTCTGAGCTTTCCTCTTCCTCTTCCCTGTTTTTGCTAACCTTTCTTCGTTTCCATTCATGTCATCTTTTTATATATTTAAGTGCATTGACATAAAAGAATGGAAGAAATAATGAACGGAAGAAATAATGAACGGAAGAAATAATGAACGGAAGAAATAATGAACTTCCATGATCACAAAAACTTTTCATTACATGTATTACAAGTATTTTTTCCATCCATAGCTCAGCACTCTTCCAATTCTGCGTGCTGAGGAAGCAGAACTATTAAATGATGATGAAGTATTTGGAAGTCGGCAAACAGTCAAGCATACATTAATGGCATTACGCAAGTACTTCAGTGCTCATTTGTTCATCAGAGCTGATGCAGTGAGAAGGTCCCTGGCACGTAATATGGGTAGTACTCCCCCTGTACCTGTACCGGCATATAAGGTTAAGTACTGTACCAATAGACCTAATTGGCTAATGGCGTTGCTATGTATGTTGCCACCCAATTCAAATCCTGTGGGAAAAAGAACTTTTGTTTCTAAGAATTCAACTGTGAAATGAAAATACAACGAACAATGAAACTTATTCCTGGGTGGTTTGAATTGGGTTGAAGCCGATTAGGTCTATTAAGTCCAAACATAGACTAAAGTGTGCCTTGTGCAAGCCATGTAGTTATTTTATTTAGAAAAGATAATTAGACCACAAGTTTGATTGAATTATAATGTGATGAGAGGATCAATGTAAATATCCATTTACTATCATTTGTTTTTCAGGCTCTGTCATTAAGTATGGATGGTTTTTCAGACAATGTAGATCTTTTGCTTGAGCATACATCAATGGCTGTGAACTGGGCACCACTAGAGGTTGTGTAACATTCTAAGCAGTGTTATTTTGTGGTTTAGTACTTTAATACTGTATTTCATTCATTATGTGTTATTCATTCATCCGTTCATTCAGTCATTTGTTTTTTCAGATGATGCACAATTTACAAGGGTTTACTTTGATTCTTCAAGTGATTGCATTGTCAGCTGACTGGAGAGCATACAGCTGCAGGTACAGAATTCCCATACAACATGGTYGCTCATATTGTAAACTATACAGTCATAAAATAGTTAACATTAATTATTGATAAAGCTTGTGAATTACAGGAGTGATGTAACWCGATTGGCCTTGGAGATGCTGTTTATTTTAACTGTAAACCCTAAAGCTAAACTTGCATTRAATGAACAGATAGCAACCCCCTCAGGCGATATGATGAGTGGAATGAGGTACAATCTCATTTTTTGAGATGTGCTTTTTATAGGGTTATGTATTCATTGCTTTCTTTTTGTTGTTCTATTTTAAGACTACTTCTTCGTGCAGCTGAGGGTGAACTTGTTTCTGACATTGACATACAGTTCGCTGCATTGTATGTGATTTGTAACTGTGTGTACAAACCAAAGGTACGACCTCAAGTTTAGTTGGGCCCTGCCTGTGACTTTTTACTGAAGTGCCATAATATTCCTGTGACATTTTCTTTATCTTAAGCCAACAGGAAATACACCACTTGCTCGTAGTAATGTGCGAACGAAAACACCACATAGAAGTGAAAAACATGATGAGATTACAACTAAAATGTGGTCCTCAGTGCGTAGCAGCAATGGCATAAAGGTGTTACTGAGCCTGCTCTTAGTGAAGACACCTCTGGTCAGTGCTGATAAGATCAGAGCTTTGGCATGTAAAGCATTGTGTGGTTTGTCAAAGAGTGATAAGATTAAACAAGTTATTGGTAAACTTCAATTATTTAACAGTGGTCAGCTACAAAGTAAGTAAGAACAATATCAACCCAGTTCAAAATTCAACTTTAGATTAAGTGAAGACAACTGTATTACACAATATTTGTTATTGTCATTTTCATTACTAACAAATAACTTTGAAGAGCACAAGGCACAATAGAAAACAATAGATTTAGGTCTTTTAATCATTTGATGTTTGGAGTACATTAGTGTACATTAGGTTTTCGTGCTAATTACATGTTGTCGTTTATTTGTTGTGTGTTTCAGTCCTTATGCGTGAACCTATTTTAGAAGACAACATGGCTGATCACATGTCATTCTGTAAATATGCTGCTAGTCTACTAGAAAGAGTTACCGGGAAACCTTTAGGGAACACTACTGTGGCTGTACCATCATTGTCAAGGATAACCAAGGTTAGAAGTTACACGTACTGCATCAAAAATCAGATAAGTTTACAATTTAGTGAAGATATTGATAATCAGATTATTCGTATAAATTTTTTTAACATTGATTGATTTCATGGAACCAAGAAATTCATCAAGCATTATAGCAATAATACCAACAAATGTGACTGATATTTTGCATTTCTTTTGTAGGCTGATGTAGTTGCACAAACTCGTATTACATACCCTGAGAAAGAACTTCTACAACTGATTTACAATCACCTTGTATCTAAAGGTATGTCTATCAGCAAACACTCAAATTCTCTTTAGTTTCAGGATTTGGATTTAATTTTTATCTGTTGTTGTAGGTCTTGATGAAACTGCTAAACATTTATTAACTGAAGCTAAACTCCCTTCACCAAAACCAGCATTAGCCTCACCAATTGGCAGCCAGAAGGTAAGACTCAAAGAAAAGGGTTTCTTGCAGTGCCATACATGTACATGTTACCTGATGGGCTGGAGATTTTCATAATTAACCACCTAACTACATTCAATATCCAATATATACGGTGTGACGGAAAGTATATTTACCACTCACATGTTATATTTCAGCGTCCTATAAGTAGTTCCGTTTCCATAAATACACCATCAACACCAACGATGTCCAAGTACCGTTATGCAGAACCAGTAACACCATCATTAAAGGTGAATACCATGGATATTATCTGGAAAATATACTCTTCAATAATATTTCAATTCTGATGCAATTGTATTTGAATTTTAGCGTTTATTACCAGACACTTTATCGAGC